CACTTAGTAAATTTCACATGTACCCTTGTAAGATACACTGTAGGTGTGGTCCCACCAGTTACCCTCCCTCCACCCATCTTCAACCCCACCACTGTCCTCCCACCCCCTTTCCCCTTCTTGGGCTATAATTGGGTTATAGCTTTCATATGAAAGCTATAAATTGGTTTCATAGTAGGGCTGAGTACATTGGATACTTTTTTTCCATTCTTGAGATCCTTTGCTAAGAAGAATATGTTCTAGCTCTATCCATGTAAACATGAAAGAAGTAAAGTCTCTATCTTTAAAAAAAAAAACATTATTATGTGAAATTTCAAGCATAGTAGTATAGTAACAGGTTATAGTGTACCTATCACTCAGATTTAACTACTGTAACAACTTACAGCTAATATTATTTCCCCTCTCTCAGATTATTTTGAGCAAATTCTATTCATACTATTTTATCCATAAATGTTTTTATACATATCTTAAAGTGATATGCATTCTTTTAAAAAACTTAACCAAAATCTTTTTCTACTCACTTGTACTCACTTCTACTCACTTCTCCACTCACTTCTCACTTCTCCACTCACTTCTACTCCTCAACTCACTTCTCACTTCTCCACTCACTTCTACTCACTTCTCTAATCACTTCTACTCACTTCTCCACTCACTTCTCCTCTAATCACTTCTACTCCTCTAATCACTTCTACTCACTTCTCTACTCACTTCTCTAATCACTTTTCTACTCACTTCTCTCAGTTCTTTACTTTTAATACCAGATGTGTGGAAGTTTTTCCTTGTATATCAAGCAGTTCTACAGTGGCTACCAACTTGATGTCCAGTAACTTACTTGAGTTCTGACACTATCGGGAGGCTATGCAACACCACCTTCTCCTCAGACACTAATTACAGATCCCAGTTTGTGATCCACACATTGACCTACTGGCTTTAAATTAGGGTTCTCACGATCTCCTTCCTTGGTTCAGTAATTGTTGGGACAGCTTACAGAACTCAGGGAAATACTTATGTTTTCCAGTTTATTTAAAGGACATTATAAAGGATACAGATGAGCAGTCAGCTGAAGTGATGCATTCGGCAAGGTATTATGTGTGGGGAGGTAAGGAGCTTCCGTGCCCTCCCCATGCACCAACCCCTAAGTATTTGTATATGTTCAACAACCTGAACTACCCTGAAGCTCTTCAAATCTAATGATTCAAGAGTTTGTATAGAGTGTAATCTCCCCATCTTGTTCACAGAGGTTGGTGGATGGGACTGAAAGTTTTGATCATCCATCATTTGGTTTTGCTCGTGAGCCCATCCTGAGGCTATCCAGGAGTCCCACTCTAAGTCACCTCAGTAACATAAACTTAGGTGGGATCAAAAGGAACTCCTAGTGAATAATAAAAGGCAATTCCTTTTACTCAGGAAATTCCAAGTATTCTAGGAGCTCTGCTAAGAATCCAGGACAAAATTCAAATTTATTTCATATTATAATATTATTACCATAGCTACAATATATTCAGGGCAACTTGTTCCTGATCAAAGAAAGATCAAATAAATTTAATAACTTCAAACAAGATACGAAGACATGCTGTCTGAGGCATTCACAAATGTTTTAAATAATTTACAAACATTTTAGTGAATGCTTATACCATCATAGTAGAAGTATCTTGTATTTATCTCTTTAAGCATTTCATACAAAATACTTTGAACAGGGATTGTGTTACTTAGCAATGTAAGTTTTATAGTCTGCAGTACCATGCCTTGTAAGAC